GGCGATATTGGCCTCGCCCAACTGCTCCTGAAGAGCGGCGTTGGCTCCTGAAGAGCGAAAAAAAAGACAATGGGTCGTCAGCAAAGAAGATTGTCGGGGAGATCCGACCCGACTGCTCAGCAGTCGGCCCGAATCTCGGGGACTACAGCCCGCGGGTGCGCCAGCGCGCCCCCGCGAAGAAGAAGAACTCACTCCGGATTTCCGACAAGTCGGCAGCCCGCTTGCTCAACTCCTCAACATTGCGGTTGAAGGCAGTGGCACGGAGGTTGTGATACTCCTGCAAATAAGTCACTGAAGACAAAGTTAGTGTATGGAACTCGCCAGAGGGAGTTCTGAACCGCCTGCTCAGGAGCCGGCCCGGAACTCGGGGACTACACCTAGTGGGTGTGCTGGCGCGCCCCCATAGAGAAAAACAAGAATCAAGAAGGAGAAGAAACTTACTCGGACGGCCATTCGCGCGGCCAGGTGCGCTCTGGTGCAGGCTTGAAGGGCGTCACCTTCGGCCCGCAACTTCGCCTGGACTTCCAGGAGAAATTGATTTAGCGGCCCAGTGCCGCCTCCGCGCACCCACCCGGTGGGCGCGGCGCTTGTGGCCTCGGCGTCTAGAGTTGCCGAGCTGGCAGCGCCGATCTCCCGAGGTCGCGGCGCCGAGGTCGCCCTCTCAAGACGGCGACGCACCGGCGAGGCGACTTGGAGAAGCAGCCGCGCTTCGGCCTCGTCCATGGCCGGCGGCTCCGATGGATCCACCGGCTGTTTGCCGTGCGGCCTCCCAGACGGCGGTGGAGGCAGCGGCGGCGGCACGAGAGCATCCGACATGGAGGCCTCGCCGCTCTCCTTCTCCGCGACGGGGTTCTCGGTGCCGGCTTCCCCGGTCTGCCCCGTGAACTCCGGAGGCGGCGGTGCAGACGATAGTGGGGGGACGAGCATCGCCGATCGGTGACGCGCGGCCTCCTCGGCGCACCGTCTCGCCGCAAGGGCGGCTTCGGCATCATCCAGCTTTTCTGGGCAGAGGCGGCCGCCCTGTCGGCCTCCGCCTTCTCCAAACGGTCGGCCTCCTCCTCCTCGCGCTTCTCCCGCGCATTCCGCTCTGTCGCCTCCCGGAGGTCTGCGCCAGGGTCGGGCCGCCGAGTATTGGCGGACATCTCTGCCGACCCCATGACGGAGGGGACGGCGACTCTCTCAAGGGAAAGAGGGGCCCTGAAGAAGAATGGAGGGAGTATATAAACGAAGACTCAGACAAGATTCAACAAAGAAAATAAAAGAGCGTGAAGACTTACGCGGATACTAGCGGCGGCCTTCTCACTTCCCTTCGGAAGCGGTTGGCCTTCGCGGCCGCCTCCTCTCGTCTGGTCGCGGCGGCCGCCCCCTTGAACTTCTTCAATTTGCCGCCGGGCGCATTCGGCCCGGCGTGACGCCTCTTCGCGCCGCCTTGGCCGGCGGAGGAGCCGGCGCCCGACGGGACGATCCTTAGCTGGTGGTGCGGAGCGACTTCGCCTTCGGCGTCGTCATCAGGCCAGTCGGCGAAGGTGGCCGAGGGCCTGAAGTCGCCTTCTGCTCCTCCTCCCCCGCCTTCGGCATCGGCTTCCATCGTCGCCGCCCCCAAGTCGGGGTCGTCGACGTCGCTCTCCGCGCGGTCGGGAACATACTCGCGGGGCTGTCTCGTGGCGCCGGTGGCAGGCTACATAAGAGGATTCTAGTTCAGAAGAAGCCAACAAGAGTCAGAAGCCGGAGTCGGCTGTGAAAAAAGACAAAACAATAGGGAGACGCGACTTACCACCGGTGGAGGGTTGTCGCGCGAGTACGACTCCTTGCCGAACTGCCAGTCCTCCTCGTACTCACAGTGCGCGATGTAATTCACCATATTTGCCACCTCCTTGCGGGGCATCTCCTTGGTGCTCATCCGACTTGGGTCTCGGAGGCCGCTCATCTGACAGATCAGGTGAGGCCGGCCTTGGAGCGGGAGAACTCGGCGCGCCACGAAGGCGGCCAGCAAGTCGGCCCCGACGAGTCCCTCCGACTGCGTCAAGACTCGGAGTCGCGCTACGGCGGCGGCTCCGGCGGGAGTCAGCGTCTTGACTCGGTGGGACCAGCTGGGGAGCCGCCCAGTCAGGGGACCGGCGTTGTAAGGCGGCAAGTTGACCCAGTCGCCGTCGGAGGCGAGGTTCTTCACGTAGAAGTACGAGCGCTGCCACATCTTCACCGACTTGATCAGCGTGATGGGAGGAAAGGGGTTGTCGGCCGTCGAGCGATGAAGGTGCCGCACTGGACCGGCACGCCGGTGATGTGCGTGCCGAGCTTAGAAGAGAAGAATTCTCCCCATAGCTCGATGGTGGGGAGAACGCCGAGGAAACCTTCGCACAGAGTGGCGAAGGCGGAGAGCAGCACTACCGTGTTCGGTGTGAGGTGGTGCGGCTGAAGGCTGTGAAATTCCAAGAACGAGCGGAAGAAGCTGCTCGCCGGCAGCCCCAGGCCGCGCATGAGGTGCGAGCGGAATATGACCTGCTCGCCCTCTTCCGGCGCCGGCCGGATTTCCCTCTTCGGCGCGGCGCGGGCGCGTATGAGGTCCGCGCTGGGGAGGCGGCGTGTCCGGCGGAGGAACTCGATGTGTTCTTCTTCTACCTCCGAACCGTCCCATACGCCGGAGCGCACAGCGGGGGCCGCGGCGGAGGAAGAGCTCATCGTCGCGGTATGGTGTGCTCTTGCTCAACGGCGGAGGCGAGAGAGAGAGAAGGCAAGATTAGGCGGGGGAGCGGGGAAGAAGGGCGCGCGAGCTGTGCCGCTCCGCTTCCCCCCGCCTACTTATAGCCCTGCGGGCTGAAAAGCCAAGGGGGCGGGCATGGGATTAACTGCGCACGATGCCCCACGCCGCCCCATGATTTACCCACGAAGTTACTGCGCGCAGTAATGACGTGGGAAAACCAACCGTCCTCGGCCGCAACGGATCCGTTCGTATGCCGAGGCGCGGTAGTGGCGGGCCCCGCCTGACGGCCCGTCCCGTCACGCGCGTGGGCAGGCAGACTGTTCTCCCCACGTGGCGCCACGCGATAGGACCATCCTGATGGCTGCGGGGAAGCGTATCAGGCACGCCGCCTGGCTTCCCGCCGCGACTTTCGAACTGAGGCTCTTCACTGAAGCTCCGACTTTCGATAGTCGGCCCAAGGGAAGACGGCAGCCGAGTCCCAGAGTCTGCACTTTTAAAGATTGAAGCTGTTGAAGCCCCACAATGCAGCGACCGCAGGGCTTCACCAGTTTCGGGGACTACTGTCGGAGTAATGGGCCACGGGTAGGCTAACCCGAGCCCCAGGACATTTCAAGACATTGGGGCAGGCCGCGCCCCTCAGGCCGAGTCCCAGGAGCGACTCCAAAATATGCCGAGTCCCAGACGGCGACTCCCAGATAAGCCGACTCCAAGTTGGCGACTTCCAGAGAGGCCGACTATGGAGAGTCGGCCCAAGACTCCTCCCTTATCCTGAAGTACGACGCGGGGTACGGTCATGGCATGGCCGTTTTCCCCCTGCTTACGAAGGGCCGGCATGGCTACAGTGAGCCGTATTGCTGGAAGATCTCCGGCGAGATGCGACACTATTGCCATGCCTGCCCTGATCTCAGCCACAGTACGCAGTACACTGTGCCCACGACGCTGGCCTGTACGACCCAAAGGCGGTGGGGCCGCCTGTCAGTGGGTGGGCCGAAGACGGCCTGGGCAACCCGAAGACGGACCTGTGGGAGTCGGCCGACTCCTCCCGGGGCCCCACGAGCCATTAATCAGATAAGATGGGGAATGGCGACAGTGATCGCCCGATAGACGGCGGCACTATTGCCACGACCCGATGACCGAGCCTGCGTCATCAGGAGTGCCGCTACAGTATCAAGTCTGTCCGCGGGACCCGCCAGTTGGCGGGCCCCAGAAGCCGGCGGGAAGGACGGCGGCCTGAGAGACAGATGGCTGGGACCCGCGCCCAGCCGGATTACTATTGTACCACCGGGGGTAGGCCTATATAAACCCCCCGGGGCACCCATGCAAAGGGTTCGGACCTAGAGAGAGAGATAGACCAGATAGCCCAGGGAGGAGAGAGCTAGCCTTGCCCTCTCCTACCTCCCGAAACAGCTCCAGGAGCACCATTGTAGTCACTTTGCTTTAGTGATCATGCGGAGACCCCGCAGAGCAGCAGTAGGGGTGTTATCTCCTAGGAGAGCCCTGAAGCTGGGTAAGTTCCGCCGGCGTGCATGTCTTCACCTCATCCCGCTTCTAGGCACCGACGACGTTCTACTCGTTCCCATCATGATAAGCCATCCTTTGGCATATGTCGTATCCAACCCCCGACAACTAAGTAACTTTATTCTCACAGGTATTGCACCCTCCACAAGAACATAAAAATACCATAAAAATCATACTTGAAAACTTATAAACATGCCTCGAAGGACCTGAGCCCCC